AGGAGCAGGGAAGGGGCAGGGCGGGCTGAGGGCCGCGCTCGCTCCCGGGGCAACGGGAAGAGCGCGGCGGTGCGGCGCTGCTGCCAGGAAAAGCCGACCTCCAGCCGGAGACCACAAACCCTCGGCGACAGCAGCCAGCCTGGCTCTGCGAGGCCACAGACCAAATAAGCCATGACCCGGGAGGGCAGACGGCGGAGGAGACGGAGCGGCACGGCCCCGCTGCCTGCCCCACCACTGCTGCCTAAAGGGGTGAGAATTGTGCTCAAACTTGCTTTTCCCCCCGCCAAAAAAAATCAAGTAGTGGGCCGTACTTTCCAGCCCATCACGTCCAAAGCATGAGGAATTTTTTTTTTTTCCGTGTGTCACTTTTGAGGGAAACAAATTTCTGTGACAGAGGACAAAATCCTGGGCATATTTTTCTATGGCGGATCATCCATCTTCTGGTTTGTAGCAGCTCTAATCTGTGGGTGAAGAAAATATTTTGGTGCTGAAGACTTGCCAAAATGCTGTTTAATAGGGAATTGCAGATTAATTAGCACTTATGAGGCATTAACAATAATTGTTTTCAATTTGGCTACTCAGAATAAAGTGTGATTCAGGATCGGTTGGTTGGTGCTATGGAGAAGGAAGGGAAGAAAAATTGCCGTGTGGTCTATTAAATGTGTCCCATTAGCTTCTCGTGCATAGGTAGAAGCTTTGCGGCTGCCAAGCTCCTTCTCCCACAAGGTGCTGGTATGGGCAGGAGGTGCCATATGATACGGAGTGGGAAAAAGGGGAGGGCATTTGTATTATCGGGGGGAAATGCGTGACTTCGAGTTCTTGCTTTTGCAGTATTCTGGGTTGCAGTTTATCCCTGCTATCTCTCTCTCTCTCTTTTTTTTTTTTTTTTTTTTTTTGAAGAGAGGAAGTGCCAAAAACTTAAAAAAAAGGAAAAAAAAATCCATTTACTTATTTATGCTTTGCTTTGCCAAGGAATGAGAAAACCTGCCGCTTTGAGCAAGTGCGTGAGCACAAGAGGAAGGATGGCCACAAACATCCCTTAACCCTCCTCTTCTCTTTGTAGCAAAGTTCATTATCCTCTCCGAGCCTGTGGTGGCAGGTGGAAACGGAGAGTTCCACAAAACGACTGTAGTTTCAAGGGCCAGCTGAGAACGGAGCAAATAAACCGCGTGTAACCCCAGCGCGTGCTCGTGCGCGGGCAGCCGCGTAGGCCCTGCGCGTACAGCCGGCTGATGTAAGGCCGCTCCTTAAAGCCGAGGCGATCCCTGCAGCACCCGCGTTCCCCTCCACGTGTAACCCCAGCGCGTGCTGGTGCGCGGGCAGCCGCGTAGGCCCCGCGTGTACAGCAGGCTGATGTAAGGCCGCAGAGGTGCCCGCTCCATAAAGCCGAGGTGATCCCTGCAGCACCCGCGTTCCCCTCCTTGGAGACTTGCAAGCGTCTCAGCCGGAGGGAACCTCTGCGCGGCAACGAGAGCGGCGGAGGCTGCTGTGGTGCCCGGGGAAGGGTGAGGGAAGGGCAGGGGATCAACAACCTGCCCGACGGCGCAGGGTGGCTGAAACGTTGCTGGGCACGCGTGAGCTCTTACACCCGTGCTTTTATAGGTGCTCAGCAACCTAAGGTGCGTGGACCTGACGGGGACGTAGGAGTGCTCTGCATTCATCCCAGTCTAGGGTTTGTTACTCCATGTCAAAGCGGGTGAGACAGAAAATTATGCAAGTAATGTCAGGAGACATGTTGAGTGCAAACACTTGCTTTCTCTCTTGCAAGTATCTGTAAATAGACACAATTGGTGTGAGGTTTTTGGGGTATTTTGTGCATTACTGTGCAAGGAGAATGCACAGTCTTGTGGTAGAGAGCGAGGGTTGTACATGAGGAGAGCAGAGCTCTATTCCTGTCCCTGCTGTAGTTAATCGTGTGGCCAAGCGTATTGAATCCTTCTGCAGACTGCAAACCATTTGTTTAGGCTCCACTCTCAGACTTGCTAAATACCCTCAAAGGCTGCTATTATTAGAGGGAACTGTCATTCTTCAGCTCTAAAATTGTTCCTAAATCTCAGGCATGTTTTGTGCGCAGGGGTGTGGGCCTAGGGCCTTGGTTTTCTTGCTTCCAACACACAAAGCTGGCAGAGCTCCTGCGCTTCCTCCCTTTTACAGAGTCCTCTGCCAAAGGTCCCTCTCCCTGGCTACCAGGAGCATCGTGCCCCTGCCGCAGCACTCGTAGGCTTGGCAGCAAATGCCGCATTACTTCGTGAGCTTCCGCAGGACCAGGCCTGGGGAACGTGGAGAACACACACTCCATGGCATGGAGTAATGAGTGTCCTTTAGAGCCACCTATTTATCTCCCTCATGGGGCCGTGCCCATGCAAACGCTCTCCTGCTGGCCAAGTTCTGCCTTTCTTCTCCACCTCGTTGAGGTGGTGGTTACCTTGCAGAACAAACTATTTAGAAAACTGTATTTTGCCCTTTTGGAGAGGGTAGAATCATGCAAAAATGAGAGCTTTTTATGACAAGGTTTGGGTGGGAGGGGTGGTTTTTCTGTGTGTGTTTCCTAGCGTGAACTCTGAGTCCTGGGGTTAGCATGGAGGAGCCGAGCGCGGTCCCTGGAGCCCAGCGCTCTTCCCGCCGCGTTGCGTGTAGGTGGAAGCAGCCGGCTTGCCCCGAGGACAGTACAGCTGTCCCCTCCGCACAGGCTGTGGCCAAGTCTCAGTTGAGCTCCCTGTGTGCCGTCGTTTCCTTTTTTAACAATAAATGCATCTCTGTGGCAACAATATATCAATTCCCTTCTATAAATGAAGTGCTGGGATGTTTTGTACTAACAAAACGTTTTGATGGCAGAGCCTGTGCTGATATTAGTCTGCTGTGATCTGTCGTTGCTCGCGACGGGCTTTGCTGTAATAGCGCTCTCCTTCCTGTGCTCGGCCAAGAGTGGGAGACGAATTTGAGCAAAGCAGCCTCTCGCCCTTGGTTGGTCTCTGGTGCCTTTGTACCCCCGTTGCAACTCGGGAGCAGTGTGTGTAATAGGGTCAGCTCTCCTGGTTTTAGCTGTTGGGGCCCGCGTGTCTCGCTGTGATGGGACACGGTCCCTTGCAGCTCTCCGGGCTCATCAAGGGAGCCCCCTGAGGAGTGCAGGGCACCTGCGCGCGTTCCCGATCCAAATCCGCCGCTGTGAGCAGCGCTCGGGCTCATGGCCTTAGTGCAGAGGTCAAAGACTGCTTAGATATGAAGGCTGAATCGCCTCCCTTTAAAACCCGTCAGCAGGATCAAGGCTTATGGAAACAGGCACGTGGGCTTGTCTTCTGGCCGACTGTATGGATGGGGAGCGTGACACTGCGACAGCCCTTGCAGCAGCTCCCACCAGCCGTCAAAGCACTGAGATGTGGGTGCCTGGTCACTAGTGTCCCGTGCTGAGAGCACTGTGTGAAAAAGCTGTGTTTATTTTTCTTTAAGGAGCTTTGCTGATCCCACAAGCTCTTGCTAGTTGTAGAAGACTTGGGCTGTGACCTAGGGATCGTGCGAGGCCGCGGTGAGCCCGTCAGGCTGAACGGGCCCATCTGAAAGATTTTGCGCTGTGGTGTTTGGCTTGCCCATGTGAGTAATCCAGCAGGTTACATCTCACCTCGGCTCTGCTTGCCTTGGCAATGTCCCGTTTACGTGAATCAGAAGCAAAGAAGCAGCAGAGGCTTGAGCAGAGACTCGCTCCGCTCCACGGGGAAGCTCCTCTGTGTGAGCGTGGCGTTTTGGGGAGGTCTGGCTCGGCCCACAAGCTTCCCTAGGGCCGTGCATCCCGCACAGTCTTGCTTGGGAAGTGGGCTTGTTCCTGTGCCCTGGCTGTGCTAACGCAGAGCCGTTGCTTTGGAAGACTTCCGTGGTCCCGTGCCCTAACACAAGGCAGGAGAGATTGAGGAGGGGGAGAAATCACATCCAACTGATGCACTCTGCTCTTTTGACTTTGGTGGCTCCTTGAAAGGAAGAGGATTTTTGTGCTTCAGGTTGAAAAGCAGATCAGTATTCAGTACTCAAGCCTGCGGTGTAAGCTCTGCAACTTTCAGCAGATCTCTGCATCAGCCAGCCTTAATTTCTTAGCTGTAAAATAGAACAGGGAATAGGAAAAGGGGGGGAATAGGCTTTGAGAGAGGATTCATGTGTAACTTGTGAATGCGCTGCCCTCACTGCAGCAAGGCCCTCATGTTACTTTGAGCTCTAGACTGTGCTTCAAGTACCAGTACCAGTCAAAATTTGTCGTGTTGTTAGCAGTTGGAAACTTAGGAAATATACATTTTTAATTATTATTGTTTTTTATTTCAGCAAATTCAGTAAAGCTAGAAATGCAAAGTGATGAGGAATCTGACAGGAAGCCCCTGTGTCAGGAAGATGAGATCAGGGCTCTTGATGAAGGAAGCAGCCTGGAAGAGCCCCTTGCTGACAATAACGAGATGATGGATAACAGAAAGATCCAGGAGCTCTCGAGTGAGGGAGGAATCCGGCTTCCGAATGGTAAACTGAAATGTGACGTCTGTGGCATGGTTTGCATTGGGCCCAATGTGCTAATGGTACATAAAAGGAGCCACACTGGTAAGCAGCTGAAAGAAAATCTGGTGACTGCCTGTGGCATCTCATGTTGATGTTACCTGACCACTATTCTCTCTTCCCTTTTCATTCCTGGGTAGCAGGAGGCTGGGGAGGGTGAAGGGGGTTGCGGTGTTTTGCTTCTCTCCCTACTTTTGGGTGACGCTGTGTTGCTGGCAAGCACGCTGCTCTCTTGGCATTGATTTCAGCCTTTGCTGCTTAAGAGCAGCACAGGAGCCTGGAAATCAGCCTTTTTTCCTGATCTGGACTAGCAGCCAGGTGGTGAGAGCAGTTCTCCAGCGTGGGGGTGTGTTGTATGTGTGTGCGTATGCAAGGTTTTTGATCCTTCACATTCAGTCTCCCCAAGTTTTGCCTTACCAAACCCCACGTTTTGCCAGCAATGCTGGTGCCAGCGCGGGGTTGGTGCGTGTTGCATTGCAGCTCCATCAGAAAAACCACACCTGAACTGCCCTCCTGAGTTGCAGATTCACTTCCCTCGCCAAGCAGGCGATAGTTTGGAATGATGCCCAGCCAAGCAGGCACTGTTTTTAATGCTTCCATTCTCCTATCATTTATTACTATTATTACCCTGAATGGCTGGGGGCCAAAATAGCTTACCAGGCTTATGGATTTGAGAATTCAAGAGGAACACCAAACCTTTGCCGCTGTGTGCATCTCTGGAGATGGCTCCTCCTGAGCTCAGCTACGCTAGTTAGAGCTTCTACTGCTTTGACACCACGTGGCCAGAAAACGGGGAATTTCAAGGGGGTTTCAGCTAATATGGCAAACTGCAAGCTGGGGTAACTGGTGTAGGGCACAGTTACCTTTGCTGCTGACGAGGGGCAAGTCGGTGATTTCCAACAGCTGAACAGCACGGATGTTGCCAGAAGACACTACTGTTAAATCTTAGAGTCTGTCTGGCAGAGCCTTTGATTCAAAAGAGTGCTTAAGCATGTGCTTAACTTCCATGAGATTTAAGCACATGTAAGTCACCTAAAGTGCTACAATATATGCTTAACTTAAGACATATGCTTAAATCTTATTAAGGTTAAGCATCAGGTTCTGCATTGGAGCCTCAGGGGATGTTTGTTTTCTCCATATTTTTGAACCAAATGAAAGATATCTCTTTTTTTAATCTCTCTCCAGTATTATTTAATGGGGTGAAAGAAAGTCTGTGCTCTCACTGTAACTGTGAGCTATCAGGTATAAAAAGAAAAGTGGGGTTTTAAGGTAGGGTAAGAAAAGCCAGTGTATAATCCCATTGTAAACCTAGTAGTTTGCAGTCAAGTAGCGTGCGTTTGATGGGGAAGAAATCAATAGAACTTCTGAGCAGAGGAACAATAAATATATATTACATAGGTAATGCCCTGTATATAAGCTGTATTGATAATAACTTAGCATAAATGTATAATGCAAGGCATTGCAGGATCATTTATGATACGTTCATGACTTTAGATGACAGTTACAACGGGGGAAAAGCATCGGCTGGAGAATCAAAGCGTTGGTTACCAGTTTGTGGTGCCCTCCCTAGGACAAGGAAGAGCTGGCTGCAGTGCAGGAGGCAACCGACCGCGTACCCAGCCTTCAGCCTCCCGAAAAGTTCGCCTTGGCGCTCGCATATTTGTGAGCATATGTATTGTAGGTGCACCAGAGTCCACACACTTGAACTCGAGTGGCTAAATTAGACTTGCTAAATTTAGATGTAGGTACTTAATTAAATGGACTGCGTTTTTTGGAGATGCGGAGTAATTACAGCATCTTTGAAACAGCCGGGCTGCCTCTTTCATTTGAAACAAAACACGGCAGTTCCAAGTGAGCAGAGCAAACCCTGGTGTGTGCGGCAGGCCAGGCTCTGGGTGGGAGTTACGTAACGGGCAGCTTCTCCTCGGGGCTACTGGCAGCTCCTCGCAGAGCGAGGCCTCTCCTCCCCCTGAGTGCAGGAGCTGAGAGGCATTGCTCTATACAGAGCATCTCAAGCATAGAGAAAAGGCAGCCCTTTTAACGTGCAGCTTGGTGCTCTAGTCATAAACCAGTCGTCAAATCTTGCGGGGGATTTTTTTTTCCCCCACTTTGTTTTTTTTTTTCTTTTTTTTTTTTCCTAAGTGCATGCTACTGCTTCACTGTCCACAACAGAAGCAGCTCGCTTGGATTTCCACATCCTTGGTTTTCAGGGAGTATTTTTAACATCCCGGTAGCTGTCCTCTAGAGCGGAGCGTTTCGCAATCTGCGGCCGCTCCGCGGGCTGGCCTGGCCCCGGGGAGCGCGGGGCCGCCGTCCCCAGCAGCTGGCACGGCTGCACGCTCAGCCCGTCCTGCAGGGGCGGCTCGTGCGTCTCTGGGTCCGAGCCCTGCCTCGCTCTCCTCGTCCGCACGCGGATGCCCCGTTGGCCTTGGCAAAACGGCAGCGCCTTCCCCCAACCCTGCCATGTAAATCCCGCTGCATCCCGCGGGCCTGGCAGGGGTGCAGTTTGCCTGTGCGCGGGGACGGGTGGTGGCTTTGCTCCCGCAGGGGAGTTGTGGCTCTGCTGGGCTCGGCACGTGAAGCTGCTCGGATCCAGGCCTTGTCCGTGTGTCACTGAAGAGCAGGGAGGGCGCCGGTGATGGCATCTGTGTAACCCGTGTGGCCATCAGGAGGGAGCCTTTCTGCTGGCCCTCGTTGCTGCCAGCAAATCAATGAAACGCTCGATCGAGGGGGTCAGCGAGATGCCCTGGCTGCCGAGGGAGCTCAGGTCAGGAGAGCAGCCTGTCAGCCTGGATCTGCTTCCCTCCTCTGCCGTTCTCTTTTGGGCAAAGTTTCCCATTCCACAGCACATGCCCCGAGGATGCAGCGTCATTATCAGTGGTTTTGGTCACAGCAGGAGGTGACTAGTCACTTCATGTTGTTGTGGGATATGCCAGGCGCTTGTGCCCGGGAGTATTGAGGGAAGGGAAGAGGAAGAAGTTAAGGTCAGTCATCCAGTGTGTCTCCGAGGAAGGAGCTCTGGTGGTTGTTGCTCACCTCGTCTGGCTGTTTCCCAGGGTGCCAACTTGGGGATCTTTGCCTGCATTTCACATGCGTCTTGGTGCCACGAGGTCGTGAAGAGAGGTGCGTCGTGTGCCAGGGAGAGAGTGTTTCGGGTTCTTTACCATGGCTTGCATTGCCATTGAACATACGCAAGGCTGTAACTCCAAATGGTATATGTGTATGTTTTCATGCAGAGCTCAGGATTTGGGGACAATGAGGGAAAAAAACAATAATGCTTCTTAGATTTTTGTGTTTGAAGTGGTTAACTAGGAATGGATTTACACGAATGGTCGTTATTAACACATTGTGGTTGACTGCACTGGTTGACTTGCCTGTCTTAATGTTCTAGGAGAAAAGTTTTATTTGGTTTAACTTGTAATTTGGAGCCTAATGCAGAGTCCTACCTCTTGCAATATGAATTGTCTTGGCACTGAATCAAAAATTGTAGGGCCAGATTTCTAAATGTAGTATTTTCTGCTTACCCTCCTAAATAAATTGTCTAGTTTTTCTAAAAGTCTCATTTCCTACTTAAGGAGGAAGAGCTTGAATTTTCAGAACTGCTCTGAAGGGAAGGCTGTGTTTTACTCTTGGTACTCAGAAGCTAAGCCCTACTGATAGTTTTGCCCATTCACTTAAGAGTTTGTTTTCTTTTAAAAGTGTGGTTGTAAATACAGAGGATACTTGGAAATCACCCAAGATTTCCCAAAAATTTCTCATGAGAGATTTGTCACCACTATTTTCTAGTAAGGACTTTCTCAACAAGGCAAGTAAGAGGTAAATAAAACCACTGGTTTTGAGTTCACATGAAGGGCCTTGAACACTGATATAGCAATAAACAGGTTTCACTATTGATGAAGATGACTGGCCTGTTATTCTGTGAAATAACTCAATTTGAGTTCAGTGGGACTAAAGTTATGAGACAAGGGCTATGGAAATCTAAATCTTGTTTAGGTCTGGGGGCATAATGTGCTTCAAACAACACATGAGACAGGGAAACGGTTTCCCTTTCCCAATCTTTTCATTAAAGATTTCAGGCTATAAAAAAAGTACCCTAACGCTTCTGATGCAGGGAAGCAGTTGATTCACAATGGAGAAAACTTAAAATATTTCAGCTCTCTTTGGAGAGTTGTGAATTTCTTCTGAAATACATTGCCAGCGACTTGGGATAGACTCTAGTTTGAACAGGCTCAAACAGCTTTGGATATACTCGTGGCTCTCAGCTACATTGGTGCTTTGGTACAGCAAATGTCACCGCTGTCTTTTGCACCGCGGCGGCTCACAGAGAAGAGTAACTCATAGCGAAACCCGCGCGCAGGCTTCCGTGCCGGGCTGGGAAGCGCTCCGGGTGAGCAGGAAAGGGCTTGGCTTCCCTTTGAAACGCGGTGCAAAATACAGCGAAACGGGGAGATTGTGAGTGGGAAGCTAATCAGGTCGTTGGGCTGCTCCCGGGTTGTATCAGCTAGCACGTGCTCGATTCTGTTACTGCGAGGCCTCCCGCTCTGAAGTTGTTACGGAAGGACCCTGCCTTGTTAATACCCCAGCCGCCTTTGGACCACTTCGCTTTTCATCTTGCTGTTTGTTTGCACAGCAGCAAGTGCACTTGTGTGCTTTAGATCCTAATGCGTCTAAATAACTGCAGTGTTTCACTGCTACTCTCTGTGGAGAAGAAATAGCTATAATGGATGCATGTTAAGCAATGAATTTGGGAGTTTCAGCGGGATTTTACTGTAACTTGGTTGTAAATATTTGAAATCAAACCTGTTAATAGTTTATTTAACTATAAAACTGTAAAAGCCTGCAGTGTTTTCTTTTAAATTAACAGCCATTCCCTGGCACAAGCCCCTTTCCCAAAGCCTGTAGGAAAGATAATACTGTGCAGCTCTGGCTTAGCTTGCCCTGTCCGTTCCTCAAGCAACTTCACGTAATTAAATTCTCCTTGCTGGGAACAATGCTTTCAGGCATGCCTGGCTTTGTCCGGCTTGAGATCTTAAATCTGGAGCTGGAAAGAAACATCTCTCGTGTTTGGTTAGCTGTACCTTTCCCTCTCCCTACTTTTTTGTTTCCATTTAATCGTGTGGCTTTGAGATTTTTCTGCCCTGCTTCAGCTTTAAGATATAAAAAAGGTTTAATACCTGAAGCAGATGAAAAATATCTGCCACTAACATACTTATTTCTACTGTCCGGTGTTAAAAAGCTTGCTCGCTCACACTTAAGCACACCTCCTTCTTAAAAGGAGTTTGTATTTTAATAAATCGGTGTGAGTGGATAGAGTGCAAAGGTAAACACACATGCAGCTCCACGTGGGGCAGCAGGTGCCCCGGCCTGTCGTAGTTGCACTGTTGTTTTCTCAGAAGCCCAAGCTCTAAGGATGTTGTTCGGAAACTGTTCGGAAACAGCCACAGTACCAGAGAACTGCTGACAAACCTACCAGGAAAGGGGAGCAGGGCAAGGGAGGGGAAAACGGGCTTCCCGAGGCAGCGAGGAGGCGTCGGGGGCACCGCAGGGCGCCTTGCGAGGCCCAGGTGGGCACCAGGCAGCCGCCAACCGGCCCCATCTTCTTGCTCATCAGTCCTTGCTTTTTATGAGCACCCTTCTATCAGGTAACGGCCTCGCAGATTGACTTTACTGCACGTAAAAGCTGTTAATCAATAGTGCAAATGTGTGACTAAAATTAATTGCCGCCCCAGAGGCCTGCAGTTTAAACTAGTGGCAGGAAACGGGAGCCGGAGCGTGAGTATAATAAACAGATCAAAGGAGTTATTTAACCTGATTTAAACCAGTAGGAAACAGAAGTTCATGCTGATTTTAAACAGATAGACGGAGTATCAGATCAGTTAAGGTAAAATGGTCAGGTTGTGCCTGTGACAAGGAAGGAGCCATGTGAATTCCTGGTTGAAGGTTTTCAGCATCCCTTTGGCTTCCGTGTATTTAGGAATACTACTTGCTCCTATGCGGCCTCCAAGAATATCAGAGGAGAGCTGGTGATGCGGCGGGCAGAGCACATCAACTGCTCCATTTTAAATATGGCAGGCAGTGAAAGACTTCAGGTTTGATAAGAAACTCGCTGCCGCCTTTTATGTTGTCATCCTGAAACTGAAGCAATCATTCCTGACTACTGAGAAACGTGTGAAAGGAAGAGCTTCTGCCTGTTTGCTCAGGCGGTGAAAGTAAAACAGAAAAGAAAAAAAAAACACATTTTTTTTCCTAGGGCAAACTCTACCTATCTCAGCTATGGGCATTTGCGAAGGCTACAGAAGATGGTGGTAATGGTTAATGAGGTCCTTAAAGTGTGTTGTGAAACTTCACAAAGAAAACCACAAACTCTGTTATCAATTCCAGTGAGCTCTCCTTTGGCTTACTGGAGAGAGGTTTGTGCCCCAGTTTCCCACTACTGCTTCTTGATGTTCTTGGGAAGGTTGCAGGAGCCCTGGCGCTTTCCTTGGTGCATCTGCACTGGTTTAGGAGGAAGCTGCTCCCAGCTGGTGCACGTGAGGTGGAGCTGCACCAGAACGGCGTGTGGACGCGGCGCGCGTTCCCGCTGCCGCCGTGCTTGCTCCACCAGGCAGACACCCCGGCCGAGATTTAAACCAGCAAAGCAAGGGCTGCTAGAGGACGTCTGGGCGAGCTCACTTCGAGGAGTTCTCATCCTCCCTCTCCTTCCGTCCAGCTCGAGAGACATCAGCTGAGATTTGCACTAGACATTTGAACTACTTTGATAAAAACACACCATTAATTTTGTCCAGCAGGACAGTAATCATTTTAAGGCAACTGCAGAAGTCTGTGAGGAGATGTGGCAGATAGCAGGGTGGCACTTTTTCAGGGGAGCTGTGCTGCAGAGGAGCCAGTTCACCCTCAAAACACACCACCAAAATTTGCCCAACGCTCTATAGCAGGTGATATGTTCAAGAAATGAACAAGCGCTAAGCATGCAAAATCTGACGTGCAGGAAACTTGCTGAATGAGGGCCCTGGCTGGTAAAAACCTATTGGTGTCTCTAAAGGCACGTGGGCAAATGGCCAGTGTGAGATGAGCTCTTCTGCCCTCGCTGACTGGCACCGTCCCTGGTAGGATGCAAGTACGTGCTCGGAGCTGAACGTGTGCACAGAAATGCTGGGACAGGATGAGTGTCCTTAACAAACTGTGTCAGGTTTTCTTCCATAAAGAAAAAATGAGATATTTTGTTACACTCCCAATCCCAGCCATCCAGGCAAATATGGACATTTAACATTACCTTAATCTTTGTGTGTGTGCGTGTATGTATGGAGTGAAGGGAGAGGGTAAGCAGTTGAGTTGCTGCTTAAGCAAACAAAGAGAAAGCCTGAATTCTTTTGCATCAAAGAAGTCTCAAATTAGTTTTATGGGGAACGCAAAATTTCCTTATTTCTCCTTTTTTCCTGACCTTTGCAGGCTTCCTTTGCAGGCTTCCTTTGCATCAAATGTCCTTACAGCACTCTAGCAATTCAAAGCACCCTTTACCAAAGGATTTTGAATTAAAATATAACGTAAGCAAAAGATCTGGTTTAAAGCAAAGACTTGAGTGTCTGTCCAAGACAAATTGCTGTGATCGATTCTGAATACTTACATGGATTGGACCTGTGCTAAAAATAAGTGCAAAACCATAGAAATAAATACCACAAAACCACAGGTCTGGATCTAAATTTTGAACACATCTCACTTTTTATGATGGATAAAACCTCTGAGGTTCAGAACTTGATGAAAATCGGGCTGCTTTAGCCCCCTCCAGCTCATGCTGCAGAAGGGAGATGCCCCAAGTCACTACTGGAAGCTTGGCCTGTTGTGCCCAAAAAGGGCTTCCAGCACTGCAGGGATGAGTGGAGGCTGCCAGTGCAAAACAGCACGGTGGCAAGGGGGGAATAGGGGCTTCATGCATCTCCTGACAGTTTTGACAGCTCTACCCTTCCATTTACTCTTCTAGGTGAACGCCCCTTCCACTGTAACCAGTGTGGAGCTTCTTTTACCCAGAAGGGGAACCTGCTGAGGCACATCAAGTTGCACTCTGGGGAGAAACCGTTCAAATGTCCCTTCTGCAGCTATGCGTGCCGGCGGAGGGACGCCCTCACAGGACACCTCAGGACGCACTCCGGTGAGCCTGCCTTGCTGCCTGCCCACTTGTTCCTTTTCCCGTTGCCTTTATCCAGCGAGGCGGGCTGGGAAACTGCTACCTGTTCCCCATGGCCCTAGGTCTGCGCCGTCCTCCTCACACAGCGCAGATCTGAGCTCTGGGAAAGCCTCGATGCGAGTCAGAAAAGTTGTGGTTCAGCCCCACCTCTCCTTTTGTGTAACTGAGCTCCTCTGCCGATGCTATCGATGCTATCGCACTTCCCTCTGAACGGCTCCCTCCGTGGAGCCAGCCTGTGCTGGCAAATTGTTTTGACACAGTAGGCCCCAGAGTGGCTGCGAAATTCCAGAGATCGTTGTGAATAAAATCCTGCTTTTGGAAGTGTACTATAGTTCATACCTATTTCTTCATCTAATACATGCTGCTTGCTGGTGAAGCTGGGACTTGTTTGTCTTTCAAAATCCTAATTGCGTTTTTGATTCAGTTGTATCTCACTGTGAAGTCCTAATTTTTGGCAGCTCCAGCCCTCATCCTAAAGGCGAAGGTGAGGGGGGGAGAGAATGTTTTCTTCCTTGCCATGAGTCTACTTGCGATGATTTATTGACGTGTTCTAAAGAAATGGTAATCACATAGTCCTGAGGATCAGAATCAGGCACGTTTCTAGTCCCTATTTGCTAACCCAAGAGGCTCTATCCTCCTTACTTTACTCATTTACGTAGGGTTTTTGAGTAAGATCCAACTTGCCGTGTTTTTGTCTCCTAGGATCTTCATTTTTTTGTGTGCAGGCCATTTGTAGGAGACTGTTTTCCATTGTTGAATAAGCAGAGATAATTGGGCTGGTTAGAACTGCCAGTGTTACAGATGAACTTTTTAAAGGTGCTAGCAAATGTGTGAGTACTGAAATGCCGTGGTTGAAGTGCAGCTGCAGGCAGAGTCTGCATGTGAAAATGTCATCATGGAGCTTCCTGACGCTTTATGCGTGTTTCTTCTAAAGGACTGGCCTCGCTTCAATAGTGCTTGCTGTTTTAGGAGGGTCTTAGATTTGTCGTTAGATTGCTAGACTGTTTTGGCTGTTAGATTCATACAGAGTTGCCTTTATATGTCCAGGAATCAGCAGGGGTGAAGCAGTAAGGACCTGCAGCTGGATTTCTGGGAATGCAGGTAGCTGCCCTGGTGCTACCGAAGTCCTCAAAGGGCATCAGAGCTTCTGAGGAGAAAAGCCTGGCGCTGGGCTCAGCGAGAACCGCTCGAGCGGTGGCAGCGGGGAGGGTTTGATCTGAAAGGCAGCAGGGGAAGCATCTGTGGAGCAGTGAGTTGCAACTTCACACATCTGACCATAGCAATAGTTTCAGCTTGAAGTTTAGTAAAAGAGAAAACATGATAAAAATATTCACAATTAAAAAAATAATAATAATAAAGAGAATCATGACATAAAATAAACCACATTACAGAACATGAACATTGTGGTTGAAGATTGTTTTCATAATATGAATATAGATTTTGTTACCTAGATACAGCCATTGATAGAGATTGTTGGTGTTTCCTGTGTGAAAAATATATGGCTGATCTTTGTACTTTTTGCATGAGGATAAACATAATTAAGGTGTGGGATTTCCAAAAAGCATCTCCGCTGCTTAGGCATACGAGTCCCACTTCAGCTCTTCCCCCAAGTTATCTGTGCTTGGCTCTGCAGCATCTACAATTTTATGTTACGTTTTCAGTGGAGAAGGTGCCATTGCTCCAGCCCATCTGGTACATCACTTCTGAGCAGAGGTCCAGAGGGGACAGACAAGTGCTCCCACAATACTTTCCAAGGCAATTCTTAGGGTAGTGCTCACAGATGAAGAGTTAAAAACCTGGCATTTTGCCCTAAAACCTGACAGCCACCTACACGAAGGCAGAATGCCAGCGTGGATGGGGGCATCCGCATGGAGGCTCTTTCCGTGCCTGCCGCAGAGGCAGCCTCGCTTGCTTTGTGCCCACGTATGTGCACCTGGCTCATAGACATGTGTAGACATTCCCTCAAGATGTTAAAGTGTTTCATATTAGGGTGGTAACCAAGCACTTTCTGCTTTAAGAAAGTAAACATCATACTCTGCAAGTAGACCTTGAAGGTATGACAAAATCTAGCAAACTTCACCAAATCTCCACCCCTTCTGCCATTTCAAACCCAAAAAGAGGTGTCTGGTAGATGAAATGTAGAACTAAGAGGATAAAAATTGTGTTGAAATATGAGACTTCTCTGTTATTTTAATCTGGTACATTTATATCTAATGGAGATGAATCTGAATGTATTTTTTATATTTTTCAGAGAAAAGCTCTTTAGGTCAGATTCTCAGTTGATGTAAATTGGAATTACATCCTGTAAGTAGAGAAAGTACTGTTATCTTGCTCCAGCTGAAAATCTGGCACTTAATTTCAAAAACGTAGGATTTTTTTTTCTTGTGCACCCCTTTTCTCTTTGAATAAGAGAATGCTATTAATCAAGAAAAGAAAAAAAATGTTTTTCTTCCCAAGAATGTTTTAAGTGCTTCATTCTTTATGGCAGACCATGCAAGAAAAGCATTGAAGGATTTTGTATATCTTTTTTTTTTTTCCTTTTACCTCCCAGGTAGTTCAATCTGTGATTTTGAAAGCACTTTATTTGTGTCACCACTTAGTCAGTTACACCCGCTCCCTCCTGCCAGTTAGTCAGTTTTTCCTGTGCTCAGCACAGGCTTTGTATAAAGCAAGACAGGAGAGGTGAAAAAATAGGGAAATCTAAGTACAAACAGATATTAACAGAAGCATCTTAGTGATATTTAAAATAACTGAAACTACTGTTAATTGAAAAAAATAATAATTTGAATGTTTCTCCCCTGCTTTTCTTTTCTCTGTAGATATTTTGGCTCAGGCTTGTTAATAGGATTTCCTATATATGTCCAAGTGTTTATGAGCATTACAATCCACTCCATGCCTCCCTTTCTCATGCAGAATATCATTTTACTACACAAGTATTCCCGGAGCGAGAGGTTATTAAGGAATTACTTTGTATCTCTAATGCTGGTACCATTTAGCTCTAAATAATTAAGGATTTATCTCCTGGTTACTAGTTGCACCCGCGACTGCTTACCTTTTACTGACACACACAGCTGTGATGAACTTTGTGTCTGTATTTTCCTCCCACGTGTAGCACCTTTGATTTCAGGAATATAATGATGCCTTCAGGGCATCAGCAGGGTAATGCCTAGGATATCCTGAGGAGAGATGAATGTGTAGAACACACCAAGAGCTTTGGGGAGCCTGAAGGGACTTGTAGGACTTCCAGGAATTGGCTTCGGGATTAACTCTGTTGTCCCACAGCACAGCTGGTGTGAGAGGTGCATGGGTGGGCTTGCAGGACACGAGTCTACAGACACACCACAAACATTATCAGCCCTGTCCTGCAGGACGTGCTTGACCAACCAGCGGGGACTGGCTGCACCTTTTGGTCTTTAAGAGGAAGATATTCGGTCAAAGCTAATCTCCTGGGCACAGTTGCAAGGTCCCTGAGGAATGCCCATATTCCCCCCACATCTCCACAACGGGACAGCCAGTGCAGGAAGCTTTAAGACAGATGAGACGAATCCTGCTGTAGGTGATGGCTGAACAAAGCGGTTTTAGGGAAGAAGGTTGATCTGCCAGCTCAATCTGGTGGATAAAGCACCTAAATGATGAGCTTGTACTTTGAAAGAAACGATGTATGGGCATGTTTTGATTTGAAAGGTAAGTTCTCTGATAGTTATGATGAAAATCAAGACTCTAATGGCAAGCAATCTGCAAAAGCTTATGGAAACATTTAATGCATTAGTTTTGAGAGTAGGGTGGGCCAGTAAGCAGTAAAGGAGGGTAGGATTACATGCTGAGGGTAAACATAATACAGAGTAGGTTTGCATTAAGAAAAAAAAAACATATATGCATGCATTGCAGTAAGCAGGGGTGCTCCTGTGGAAAACTTATTATGTGATTTTGTAATTAAAAGACTGCCCGATCGTCTGCGCACAGACAGGTTAAATAAAGCCTTCTCAGGCAACCCCAATTCTAGCACTTCCTGATTTTTTCTGTCTTTATCTTGGCAAATTTAATCACATTCCCTTGTTGTGGGAATGTCTAAGTGTTATGCATATAGGAAAGCAATTTTACTCTTTATTTCTTCCTAAAAACTGAATAGTCAGATCATTATTTCTTCCTGACACAGAAGCTTTTCCTCATGATACATTGTAAAATTGCTTCCAAGCTACTACTTTCCTGTTTAAAAAATGATTTTCCCTTTTCTGCTTTTAACAAATACTTGCTTTTTCCTCCCCCTCCTCTTCCTGCATTGCCCGGCTCTTCAATAGCACTGAACTAATGGAATCATTTCATTTCATAGAATCATAGAATCATAGAATGCTTAGGGTTGGAAGGGACCTCTAGAGATCATCTAGTCCAACCCCCCTGCACACGCAGGGACACCTAGAGCACGTGGCACAGGACTGCATCCAAGCGGGTTTTGAAGATCTACAGAGAAGGAGACTCCACAACCTCTCTGGGCAGCCTGTTCCAGTGCTCTGTCACCCTCACTGTTAAGAAATTTTTCCTTAAGTTCCTATGGAATTTTTGATGTTTCATTTTCCGACCATTTCCTCTAGTCCTAAAAGAGAAGAGAAGAGAAGATTTGGAAGAGAAAAGCAGTGAAGCATTTGTTTGGGAAAGAAAGGCTGAGGAAAAGCATCCCAATGGCATGATCATAAGAAGGAAGATGTCCCAATTAAGGAAAGGTGGTTTGCTAACTCTTTTTACATGTCTCAGTTTACAAGTTTCTCTCTCTCTTTATGTATTGGACAAGCCCTGTCTGTCCAAAGCCAATGAGGATTATTGAAAGAGTGGTAAGGGTTGTTGTTGAGGCTGAGCAGTTTGGTTTAAACTGCTGTTTTTCATTTTGAAGAACCTTTTACTGCTGTTAACACCTTCTCTCTCAAAAGTCCTGGGTGAAGTTAGTGCCTACTCTGTAACTGCATTTTTGA